ATTAACCGTTATCATTTCATCTTACATCGATCGGGTTGCTTTTTTAATCCCCCATTCCAAGTTATGTCTCTCACCTATTATCTTCACTATCACACTTACCCTTCATCATCTTCACATTCCCCCCAATCTTTATCATATTCATAAACCTTCATATCTTATAACCTTTCATCACTTCATCACCTTCATCATCCTTTTCATATCCTTCATCCCCTTCAATCCTCATCATTTAACATTTTCACCCCATCCTTCATCATCCTTCATCATCCTTCATCACCTTCATCATTTCATCATCCTTCACATCTCCATCTTTCATCATCCTTCATCTTCATCATCCCATCATCCTTCATTTTCTTCATACCTTCATATCCTTCATCATCCTTCATCATCCTTCACCCTTATCATCTTCATCATCTTCATTTCCTTCATCTTTCTTCATCATCCTTTCATCTTCATCATCCTTCTTATATTCTTCATCCTTCTCATCCTTCATCATCCTTTACATTTTTCCCTTTCATCCTTCATCATCCTTCATCATCCTTTTCATTTCATCATCCTTCATCATCCTTATCATCCTTTCATTTCTCACTTCATCATCCTTCATCATCTTTTATCATTTTTCATCATCCTTCATCTTTTTCATCACCCTTTTATCATTTTCATCACCCTTTTATCATTTTTCATCATCCTTCATCATCATTCATCATCCTTCATCATCCTATCCTTCATCATCTTTATCATATTCTCACCCTTTCATAATCCTTCATCATCCTCATCATCCTTTATTCATATTTTCATCATCCTTCATCATCCTTCATCATTACATTCATCATCCTTTATCATATTTCATCTTTCCTTCACCCTCTCAATCCTCCCTTTATCAAAATTTCACTCCTTCTCATCCTTCATCATCCTTCATCATCCTTATCATTTTCATCACCCTTCATCATCCTTTATCATTTTCATCATTTCATTATCCTTCATCTCTTCATCATCCTTCATCATCCTTTATCCCTCATATTTCATCATCCTTTTATCTTTTCATCCTCTTCTATCCTTCATTTTTACATCCTTCATCATCCTTTATCATTTTCATCATCCTTCTCATCCTTTACTCTATTTCATCATCCTTATCATCTTCATCCCTTCATCATCCTTCATCATCCTTCATCATCCTTTTCATTTTTTCATCACCTTCATATCCTTTACCCATTTCACACCTTCATCATCCTTCATATCCTTATCATTTTCATCACCCTTTCATCATCCTTTATCATATTTCATCATCCTTCATCATCCTTCATCCTTCATCATCCTTCATCATCCTTCATCATCCTTTCATTTCATATCTTCATCATCCTTTAATTTTTCATTCCTTCATCATCCTTCATCACCCTTTTCATCATCCTTATCTTTTTCCCTTCATCATCCTTCATTATCCTTCATCCTTCATCATCCTTCATCATCCTTCATCATCCTTCATCATCCTTCATCATCCTTCATCCTTCATCATCCTTCATCATCCTTCATCCCCTTTTTATTTCTCAATCCTTCATCATCCTTCCTCCTTCATATCCTTCTTCATCTTCATCATCCTTTATCTATCTTCATCATCCTTCTATCCTTCATCCTTATCATTTCATCATCCTTTTTATCCTTCATCCTTCATCATCCTTCATCATCCTTTTCTTATTTGCATAATCCTTCATCTCTTTATCATTTCATACCCTTCATCCTTCATCACCCTTCATCACCTTCTCATCCTTAATAATATTTTCCATCCTTCATTATCCTTTCATTTTCATCATCTTCTTTATCCTTCATCCTTCTCACCCTTTTCATCATCCTTTATCATCCTTCATCATCCTTCATCATCTTTATCATCCTTCACACCCTTCATATCCTTCATCATCCTTCATCACCCTTCATCATCCTTATCATATTTCATCATCCTTCTTTATCCTTCTTTCTCACTCCTTCATCTCCTTCATATCCTTCATCATCCTTCATCATCCTTCATTATCCTTCTTCATCCTTCATCTATTTTTTCACTTATTCCTAAATTTTTACTTTTTAAACTTTTGATAAGGCCTTGATCCCCAACTTGAAAACCTTTTAATCTTTCCCTCATGGTTTAATTCCTCGGGCTTAGTATCGGGTAGTTGTTATTGTGTTCCCCCTTTTGTTCCTTACTCTTTTCCGGGACTATTCTTTTCCCGGTGATTGACTTGTGTGGTGATTGTTTGGGCTCCATGGTGGTGCTGGGTACTCGGTGCCTGGCCTGATGTACTCCGTTTTAACACCTTTAAATCACTCTTTGTTGAGACGAGTGTGTATGTACTCACCTAATTTTGGTTGCAGGGGCAAGTGATAGCTCCTGGCCCCGCCTCTTCACTGGTCACCACTAGGTCCACTCTCTCCCTGTGTGTGTGTGTTGTGTGTGTGTGTGTGTGTGTGTGTGTGTGTTGGTGTGTGCGCGTGGGTGTGTGTATGTGTGGTGTGTGTGTGTGTGTGTGTGTGTGTGTGTGGTATGTGTGTGTTGGTGTGTGTGTGGGGTGCGTGGGTGTGTGTGTGTGTATGTGTGTGTGTGTGTGGTGTGTGTGTGATGTGTATGTGTGTGTGTGTGTGTGGGGGTGGGTGTGTGTGTGTGTGTATGTGTTGTGTGTGTTGTGGTGTGTGTGTGTTTTGTATGTGTATGTGTGTGTTGTGTGTGGTGTGGTGTGTGTTTGTGTATGTGTGTGTGTGTGGTGTGTGTGTGTGTGCGTGTGTGTGTGTGTGTGTGCGTGTGTGTGTGTGTGTGTGTGTGGTTTTGCGTGTGTGTTGAAAAATTTGCAGGTATCTGTTGCATGTATGCTGGTGTGTTGCGAGTATGCAAGCATCTGTTGCAGGTATACAGGCATCTGTTGTAAGTATACAGGCATCTGTTGTAAGTATACAGGCATCTGTTGCAAGTATACAGGTGTCTGCAAGTATGCTGGTGTGTTGCAAGTTTGCAAGTGTCTGTTGCAAATATACAGGCGTCTGTTGCAATCACACAGGCGTCTGTTGCAAATATACAAGAGTCTGTTGCAAGTATGCTGGTGTGTTGCAAGTATGCAAGTGTCTGTTGCAAGTATACAGGCGTCTGTTGCAATTACACAGGCGTCTGTTGCAAATATACAAGAGTCTGTTGCAAGTATACGTGTCTGTTGCAAGTATGCTGGTGTGTTGCAAGTATGCAAGTGTCTGTTGCAAGTATACAGGCGTCTGTTGCAATTACACAGGCGTCTGTTGCAAATATACGAGTCTGTTGCAAGTATACGTGTCTGTTGCAAGTATGCTGGTGTGTTGCAAGTATGCAAGTGTCTGTTGCAAGTATACAGGGGTCTGTTGCAATTACACAGGCGTCTGTTGCAAATATACAAGAGTCTGTTGCAAGTATACGTGTCTGTTGCAAGTATGCTGGTGTGTTGCAAGTATGCAAGTGTTTGTTGCAAGTATACAGGCGTCTGTTGCAAGTATGCTGGTGTGTTGCAAGTATGCAAGTTTCTGTTGGAAGTATACAGGCGTCTGTTGGAAGTATACAGGCGTCCGTTGCAAGTATACAGGCGTCCGTTGCAAGTATACAGGCGTCCGTTGCAAGTATACAGGCGTCAGTTGCAAGTATACAGGCGTCCGTTGGAAGTATACAGGCGTCCGTTTGGGAAATAAAACCCGGCGTCCGTTGGAAGTATACAGGCGTCCGTTGGAAGTATACAGGCGTCCGTTGCAAGTATACAGGCGTCCGTTGTAAGTATACAGGCGTCCGTTGCAAGTATACAAGTGTCTAGTTATTGTAAGTTGTCAGGTGTCTTTTTATTGTAATAAGTGCGGTGCCGCGGGTTGAGATTAGGCCTCCTTGTTGATTTGTCTTCTAGCAGGCTGTGATGCCTGCTGCTTGTAGGCCTACTGGGCCACCACAGCCTGGCTGTTACGACGTTTATTATAGGCTGTGATTCAGTTGTCTTTTGAAAATATCTGCCCCTGTTCTGGCAATATTTGCAATATCTTATTTTAGTACAAACAGACTGTTGTTACTTGCTGCTGTAGCAAACTGGCGAGTCTTGGTCCATGGGTGGTGATGGATATGTTGGGCTGCTGGCCTGCAGCAGCAACAACCTGGTTGATCAGGCTAGCACCAGACGAGCCTGACCCTGGAGTAGAAAGACTCTCGAAACTCATCAAAGGTATATTGAAGGTACATCGAAGTGTGACTCACGAAATCGTGTTAACGGAACGGGTTTGATTCGAACCCATAGTGAGTCCATGGGTTCAACCCCACCCGATCTGTGATTAGATGATGACAGTGTTCTAACAAGATAACCAGGCTGTTGTTAGCAGCAGTTGGTAGCGAGTTGAAAAGTCCTGCGCTCAGGATGTTGACAGTGCTAACTTACTGTGCGTATAGTACAACCAAGTTGTTGTTGCCGGCGTTGTTGCATGAGCCAGTAGGCCTACTGCAGTGTTCCTTCCTTATATTCTTATGTTCTTATTGCAGTTATGGCACCTCTGTTCTACACTTGCTTCATTCTACACCTCTAATATTTCTCGTTCCAGTACGAGAGCTTCCAGACCAGTTAGGCGAACCTTACATACCTTTCATATATCTGGAGTTTACCTGGAGAGAGTTCCGGGGGTCAACGCCCCCGCAGCCCGGTCTGTGACCAGGCCTCCTTAGGTCAGTGTCCCAGGATGCGACCCACACCAGTCGACTAACACCCAGGTACCCATTTTACTGATGGGGAACATAGACAACAGGTGGAAAGAAACACGTCCAATGTTTCTACTCTGGCTGGGAATCGAACCCAGGCCCTCACCGTGTGAAGCAAGAGCGTTAACCACCAGGCCACCAGAGCCCCTATCACTAGGTATTTCTCTTTTCTTTGTTCCAGAAAATAAATTTCAGACCCTTGAAGCATGTCCAGTAGTTTAGAAGTTTTATTTACTCTTACGTGGGCAGTAAACGATCTCTGTATATTTTTCAGGTCTGATGTATCTCCTCCCTGGAACGGAGGTATGATAGCGCTCACACAGACAAGAGAGGGGAAACCCAGTAGTGGCCAGCAGAGAAGCGAGGCCAGGAGCTGAGACTCGACTACTGCAATCACAAAAAAGTAAGTTCTGAATATAATGTTAGACATGAGAGAACGAATGATTTAAATAGTGTCACTAATTTATTATTATTATTAAATATTAGCCGGTATTCTCCCGGCCCGGGCCTTTTCCAAGTGGTGGCCCGGCCTTGGCTCCCTCTTTAGGGAGTATCTGAGACCTAAGTCTCCCATGGGAGGAGGCACAAGTACCTCCTCATCTTTGGGACCAACTGTCCCCAGGCCTAGCCACAAGCTAGGCCTCTCTGCTCCGCCATCCCCGCCACAAGGGGGGAAAATGGGAATGACAGTCTTATGAGCTAAAGGCTAAGGCACAGGCACCTACCCTACCCTAGAAGGGCTGGGCATGGTAACGATGAGTGCCACTAAATGTTACTGTTTCTCCTTGTCAGAATGTTTACTGTATTTTTTTAAGAATTGAGACATGCAACACATGGGAATCTTTACTGAGGAAACGTTTCGCCACACAGTGACTTCATCAGTCCAATACAAAGTAGAAATGGGTAAGGAGAGTAGAAGTTTGAGGTAATCAATTCTTCAACTTGTCGGTTTTCAAAGCCATTCATCATTACTGTATTTTTTTTTGTCTTAGCTGCACTGACCTAATTATAATTTGCAAAGTTTTTTAATGGTTCTTACGTTTTTCTTATCTGATTTTCTGTGTTTTCTTTCCAGTGTTCCTCTTGTGTTCTTCATTCTTGTCATAGCTGATTAGGTTAGGTCAGGTCAGGTTAGGTTAGGTTAGGTTAGGTTAGGTTAGGTTAGGTTAGGTTAGGTCAGGTTTGGTTAGGTTAGGTTAGGTTAGGTTAGATTAGGTTAGGTCGGGTTTTTGTTAGGTTAGGTCAGGTTTGGTTAGGTTAGGTTGGGTTAGGTCAGGTTTGTTAGGTTTGGTTGGGTTTTAGGTTAGGTTAGGTTGGGTTTGGTTAGGCAGGTTAGGTTAGGTTGGGTTTAGGTTAGGTTAGGTTAGGTCGGGTTTGGTTGGTTAGGTCAGGTTAGGTTAGGTTAGGTCAGGTTGGGTTGGGTTAGGTCGGGTTTGGGTTGGTTAGGTTAGGTTAGGTTAGGTTTGAACATAAAAATGGTATACAATACCGACAGGTTGTTAGGTAAGACACATATGCAAACAGTTAGACAACTTTATTCCGAACGTTTCGCCTAACAGTAGGCTTCTTCAGTCGAATACAGAAAGTAGGCCTACTTTCTGTATTCGACTGAAAAAGCCTACTGTGTAGGCGAAACGTTTCGGAATAAAGTTGTCTAACTGTTGCTAGGTCAGGTTTGTCAGGAAACAGGACAAGTGTTTCCTGACGCTGGTCTTGGTTATATGATCACCCTCAGATGGAGCTTTTGGTCATTTGACCGAGGCCTTCCGCTGGCTTACCGTTTAAAAAATATATTGTGATTTTTAACCATTAGTAATTCCTTTCATACCTGAGAAGTTGGAATTTGTCACTATTGAACATTCTGGTCTGTCTTATGTTTGTGGGAGAGTTTGTGATCTGCGGCCAGCAGTAACAGCCTGGTTGATTAGGCCCTGATCCACCGGGAAGCCTGGTCGTGGACCGGGCCGCGGGGGCGTTGATCCTCGGAATACCCTCCAGGTAGACTCCAGGCAGATAGCGGTCATAACGACACAAGTGGAGAGTAGCGGCGGATAGATGATCGGTCTGGTAGCGGGTCTAACTGGCAGGTAGCAGTGGTAACAGGCGGGTAGCGACTCTGACATGTGGGTAAGATAAGATTTCGTTCGGATTTTTAACCCCGGAGGGTTAGCCACCCAGGATAACCCAAGAAAGTCAGTGCGTCATCGAGGACTGTCTAACTTATTTCCATTGGGGTCCTTAATCTTGTCCCCCAGGATGCGACCCACACCAGTCGACTAACACCCAGGTACCTATTTGCTGCTAGGTGAACAGGACAACAGGTGTAAGGAAACGTGTCGAAATGTTTCCACCCGCCGGGAATCGAACCCGGGCCCTCCGTGTGTGAAGCGGGAGCTTTAGCCACCAGGCCACCGGGCCCTGCCGCTATTACTGTACAGTCGCCAGTGGGTAGTAACACGGTATTAAGGCGCCGTTATCACGGGTGGGTGGTATGGGTGGGTCTATTAGCTTTGCCTTTCTGAATAAATAAACAGTGAGATTAGCTTATCCCTCCTGAACCTGATAGGCTGGACGAACATAGAAAACAAATCGGCCTACCCACCTGCGTTTACGATACGTCTATCGCAAAACATTAATTTCACAACCGTACGTAATATATAGGATGGGCGATCCTGAAAGATGTTAACTCCCAGCTCTGGGAAACACTTAATGGTGTTGTTGATACTAAACACACAGTGGAATGTGGACGATACACTTATTACCCAGGTAACAGTTACTTCAGTTCTTCTGGAAGGAATCCTTTGAGGCTGTGGTAGGTATTGAACGTATAGTGGAATACTTGACGATATCCTTACCAAACTATACCACGGGCGGGGTTAGAACCCGCGATTAGAGCCACAAAACTCTCTATGATGGAGAAATATACCTAGCTGGATGAATCTTATTGTAGCCAGCTGGTCCAGTGGTTAAAGCGTCGGTCTGGAGTTTTGTGACTTTCTGATCGCGGGTTCTAACTCCACGCGTGGTATGGTTTGTTTGCAATCGTGTCATTACGATTTTCTGAGTCATGATATCCTCACCACCTGGGTAATAATTACTCCAGCTCTGAAGAACAAAAAGGCACAGTACTGTGACTGGGACAATACACGAATAACCCGAACATAGATGAAAGAAGCTTATAACGACGTTTCGGTCGACCTGGACCATTAAGTAGTTACATTAACACACGAAGGAAACGAAGCCAGTACTGATAGTTCACTTCCTCTCCTCCTTTCGTATATATATATATATGTCGTGCCGAATATGTAAAACTGGTTAGTTAGCAAGAACTCATTTAAAATTAAGTCCTTTCTAAAATTTTCTCTTATACGTTTAAAGATATATTTTTTTCATTAATATTGATGTAAAAATTTTAATTTTGCACCAAAAGAATCTTAGAAAACTTACCTAACCTTATTATAACAAGAACAATTTATTTTAGCCTAACCCAACTAAATATATTTTAGATACGTTTACAATAATTTAATACTAAACAAACACAGTGAAATATATTTTTTTTCGTTAGGTTCAGAATGATTTTGGCGAAATTATTGCATTCACAAATTTTCACTTGTCCTATATGGCAAGATGAGCGTTGCTATTTAAGCCAAGATCGCAAGTTCTGCCTATTAGGCACGACATATATATATATATATATTATATATATATGTATATATATATATGTTATGAATGAAAAGAAGTTGGATGTCCTGGCTCTAAGCGAAACAAAGCTGAAGAGGTTTTGTGTGCGAGGGGCTTGGACTTCCAGCAGGCATGCGTGAGCGTGTTTGATAGGAGTGAATGGAGACAAATGGTTTTTAATACTTGATGTGCTGTTGGAGTGTGAGCAAAGTAACATTTATGAAGGGCTTCAGGGAAACCGGCAGGCCGGACTTGAGTCCTGGAGATGGGAAGTACAGTGCCTGCACTCTGAAGGAGGGGTGTTAATGTTGCAGTTTAAAAACTGTAGTGTAAAGCACCCTTCTGGCAAGACAGTGATGGAGTGAATGATGGTGAAAGTTTTTCTTTTTCGGGCCACCCTGCCTTGGTGGGAATCGGCCAGTGTGATAATAAAAAAAAAAAATATATATATATATATATATATATATATATATATTATATATATATATATATATATAAGGAGGTACCACCTCTAGAACTGTAATGGGGACCCTCATCCTCAGAGAAAAGAATAAACTTGCTTCAGGGAAAACTCAAGATTCTCCCTGAAGCTGTTTGAGAATTTTCTCCTACCACCCCCTATATATATATATATATTATATATATATATATATTATATATAATATATATATATATATATATATATATATATATATATATTTATATATATATATTGTACTGGCTTCATCACCTTTGTGTGTTAGTGTGTCTAGTTAATGGTCTAAGTCGACCGAAACGTCGTCATAGACGTCTTTCTATGTGCGAGTTATTTGTGTATAACTCCAGCTGTGCTGGGAGGAAACCTTTGAACCTGCTATAGTTTCTGGTGCTGGGAGGAAACCTTTGAACCTGCTATAGTTTCTGGTGCTGGAAGGAAACCTTTGAACCTGCTATAGTTTCTGGCGCTGGGAGGAAACCTTTGAACCTGCTATAGTTTCTGGTGCTGGGAGGAAACCTTTGAACCTGCTATAGTTTCTGGTGCTGGGAGGAAACCTTTGAACCTGCTATAGTTTCTGGTGCTGGGAGGAAACCTTTGAACCTGCTATAGTTTCTGGTACTGGGAGGAAACCTTTGAACCTGCTATAGTTTCTGGTGCTGGGAGGAAACCTTTGAACCTGCTATAGTTTCTAGACTCATAGTTGAAGCCTTGACACTATCCTCATTACTCTATACTAAGGAAACACTGGGATACATTATTCGGAAACGCTTCGGTCCTGGGACATTGATCAAGGTCCCTGGACCGAAACGTTTTCTAATAAATATACCCCAGTGTTTGCTCACGGTCTTGTTAAACCAATTTGTCGGTATCAATTACTAAGGTTTATACCGAGTGGTCATAAATGAAATAATCATTCATGTTAAGCGCTAAAACCGTGTGGGCCATTCAACGCAAGAAGTGGTGGGGGCTCGATCCTCCGTCTGCTGATCGCCAGACACGCTTCCTATTTGTACTCACCTATATCAACCAAGTAATAGTAATTCCAGCCCTGCTGGAAGGGATCCCCCGAAGTTGCCAGAGATAGCGAACCCGCACTGGAATGCTGGACAGTATCCTCGTTGCTCCACCCAAGTCTCCCACTCGAGGCTGACACACGTCATTGCTTCACGTATCTTATCCTGTGTGATGAAATATGTCTGGTAAACCCACATGTAAACTTACTTATAAAGTAGTGAACATGGTCC